ATAGGCCCGGCAGTGCAGCCTAGTGGCTAAAGTCCTCACCTTGAATGTGCTGGGGTCCCATATGGGCACTGGTTCTAATCCCAGTGGCTCCACTTCCCATCCAGCTCCCTGCTTGTGGCCTAGGAAAGCAGCCAAGGACAGCCTAGTGCTTTGGAATCCTGCACCCATGTGGGAGACCTAGAGGAGGTTCCTGGTTCCTGGCTTTGGATTGGCACAGCACCAATTGCGCTCACTTGGGGAGTGATCTTCCTTTCTGTCTCTCCTCCTCTCTGTATATTTGACTTTGCAATAAAAATAAATAAATCTTTTTTAAAAAAAGAAACAATTAGCCTGTTGTGACCGATGGCATTTCAAGTTCTGCCAAAGGTTGCCTTGGTGGCAGCAGGCCTGATGAGCCCCACCTCTGATCTAGCAGCACCCTAAGGCTCTGTCGTTGGCGGATGGGGGATGGGTAACTCAGCGGGAAGCGAGTTGAAAGGGTTAAGCAGCTGCAGGCTGGCTGTAGGTGTGACCACCTTCCTGTTTCCGCCCCAGAGAGCAGATCTGGATTTTAACTTTCAGTCCAGGTCTAGAAAATACCTTATTAGAGAGAGATTTAAAGAGTTCTCACCTCTCAGCCTGGAAAAGCCTTCAATCCAGAACGTTCCAACCACAGAGCTTCAGCGGGGAGAGAGGTTTCCAGGTGACTGTGAGGGCCAGCGGGTCAGGACATGCAGAGCCTCTGGACTGGCGGCTATTTGTGCTCAGAAAATCTCAGCTCTGATAAGGAAGCTGGGGCGTGGGAGAGAGGACAGCTTGAGGAGGGCCAGCCCCCCGGGGCCAGAGAGGGGCAGCCCACCCTGAGTCAGCACCTCCCTACTTCAGCCTCAGGGAGAAGCAGCACATGGGGAGGAGGCTGCCCTCACTGCCTGTCAGCCTGCTTTGTATCATGCACCAGCGAGAGGGCCATTGAGCTAAACCAATCTCCTTCAGTGCGCCTGTAGGTCACGCTGCAATGGCTACCCTTGCGGTTCCTGGATGCAGAGTGACTGGGTCCAATGGCAGGAAAGCATAAGATAAGCAGAGACGTCCAACACCAAGGCCTGTGCCCTGGCCCATCCCCGCATGGGTCCAGGATCCCAAGGTTTTAGGCCATCCTTGACTGCTTTCCCAGGCCACAAGCAGGGAGCTGGATGGGAAGCAGGGCTGTCGGGATTAGAACCGGTGCCCATATATGGGATCCCAGAGCTTTAAGGTGAGAACTTTAGCCTTTAGGCTACCGCCTTGGGCCCTGGCTTTTCCACTTTCGATCCAGCCCCCTGCTACTGTGTCTGGAAAGGCACAGGAAGACGCCCATGTCCTTGGGTCCTTGCCACCATGTGAGGGACCTCAATGGCATTCTAGGCCCTTGGCTTTGGCCTATAGCAGCCCCAGATGTTGCTGTCATCCAGGGAGCAAGCCAGCACATGGAAGATCTTTCTGTCATGTTGCCATTCTATCTTTCAAATAAATAAGTATGAAAATAAAAATAAAATAGTTTTATCTCCATGGGTTTGATTTCTATTTTGGAAATCTTTGTATTTTGATTCCTTGTTTTGCATGTGGTCAGAGAATTGCATAACATCCCTCCCGCCCTGATTTCTTGAAAAGGTCAGACTAGCACACTGAATAATCCATCAGATGTCGTCATTGTCAGCGTTTTTTTTTTTTTTTTAAGATTTATTTATTTTTATTGGAAAGGCAAATATACAAAGGAGGAGAGACAGAGAGGAAGATCTTCCATTCGATGATTCACTCCCCAAGTGAGCACAATGGCCGATGCTGTGCCAATCCGAAGCCAGGAGCCAGAAGCTACTTTTGGGTCTCCCACATGGGCGCAAGGTCCCAAGGCTTCGGGCCGTCCTCAGCTGCTTTCCCAGGCCACAAGCAGGGGGGAGCTGGAAGGGAAGTGGAGCTGCTGGGATTAGAACTGGCGCCCATATGGGACCCCTGCATGTTCAAGGAGAGGACTTTAGCCGCCAGGCCATGCCGCTGGCCCAAAGTGAGAATTTCAAATTTCACTCCTTAGACATTTGAGGAGTGAACCAGGCCATGGAAGATCTCCCTTGCTCTCTGTTGCTTTAAACAAACAAACCTACCTATTGTTCTTCCAGCCGTGTCATCTGGCCACTCCACTATCAGCCTTTGTTTTCCAGAATGTGCTGATGGCTGTGTCTTCCCCTCCTCCCCACAGCTCTCCAGGGTCTCAAGTGACAAGAAGAGCAAGTGACACCGATTCAGCATTTTGTACCAGAAGCCCTAAGAAGTCCCCCTGAGTGATGGAAGCCTGCATCGTGGCTGGCACCGGAACTGACAGGAGTACTGGGGTTAGAAGCAGCAGCTAACCCACTGAACCTCAGCTTGGGCCCCTACAATGCACACAGTTAAAACAGAAGGCAAGCCTGCATTCTAAATGCCTTACAAGGAAACCACAGAGCAAGTGCCAGGTCTGCGAAACAGCTCACGTGTATCCATCCCGTCAGGAATGCCAGGGGTCCTGAGTGGGGGTGGTGGGCCACGGAGATGAGGGTCCCAAGGAAGGAGTCCTTGGGGGGCACTTTTGGAGGTGGATGGGCTGGTCCACGGGCATGGTGCTGGTTGTTGTCACCCCCCTTTTAATTTTCTTTTTGAAAGGAACCGTAAGCAGGAAGCTCCCAGCCTGGACCTCCTCCTCCGGCCACCCCAGCCTGCCCTGACCACCACCATCACCGCACTCAGCGGACCCTTCCGCTGTGGGGAGGAGGGTGGCGGGGTAGAAAGATCCCATCAGCACCTCCAAGTCTTCAAAATTCTCTGCCTCTTTGGGACAAAGATATGAGTTTATTTCTACAAATCACTTTAGGAACATGCAGGCCCAGAGAAACGTGGGTGGGTTGGCTGCTTACTGTGGGAAGCCTCTAAAGGAAGCCGTTCTTGGGACTGTGGCCTGGGGGTTAAGGTGTCCATATCTCACAAGGGGGCACTTGGGTTCGACTCCCAATCCTGACCCTACTCCATCTCCATGCTAATGCAGCCGCTTGGAGGCCTTGGGGAGAGCTGCACGGACCTCATGGCTTCGTCCGGACTGGCCTGGCTCTGGCTGTGGCTAGCATCTAGTGGAGTGACACAGCACAAGGAAGCTCTTGCTCTCTGTTTCGATAAAATAATTAAAAACCTTTCTGGATTACTGGCTTATTTATTTATTTATTTATTTATATAGAAAGGCAGATACACAGAGAGGAGGAGAGACAGAGAGGAAGATCTTCTGTCTGATGAGTCACTCCCCAAGTGAGCGCAACGGCTGGAGCTGAGCCCTGAGCCGATCCAAAGCCAGGAGCCTGGAGCTTCTTCCAGGTCTCCTACTCTGGTGTAGGGTCCCAAAACTTTGGGCCATCCTCAACTGCTTTCCCAGGCCATAGGCAGGGAACTATATTCTAAGTTGGGCCGCCGGGACACAAACTGGCACCCACATGTGGGATCCTGGCACAAGCAAGGTGACGACTGTGTCCACTAGGCCCTGACGCTGGGCCATGTTTTTTTTTTTTTTAAGATTTTATTTATTTATTTATTTATTATTGGAAAGGTGGGTCTACAGAGAGGAGATACAGAGAGAAATATCTCCCGTCCATGCTGGTTCACTCCCCAAGTGACAATAATGGCTGGAACTGAGGTGACCCAAAGCCAGGAGCCAGGAGCTTCTTCTTGGTCTCCCAGACAGGTGCAGGGTCCCAAGGCTCTGGGTCATCTACTGCTTTCCCAGCGCACAAGCAGGGAGCTGGACTGGAAGTGGAGCAGCCAGATTACAAACTGGTCCCTATATGGGATCCTGGCGCATGCAAGGTGAGGATTTAGCCACTAGGCTATCGCTGTGGGCCCTGCTGGCATGTTTGATGAAAACCAGGTGTCCAACCACACTAAGTTGGAACAACACAAGCCAGGCTGCAGGACAGGGCTGGACTCCAGGTAGCCCAAGGTCACAGGCACCATGGGAGGTAGATGCACGGCATGCCGCAAGTCACATGACCAGGTAGCTGGGCCCACATCAGGCGTTCCCCTTCAAATGATTAAACTTGAGTGGAACCGAGTTCATGAAGTTGTTTTTCCTTTGAATTCCAGATGAGACGTTGCCTTAAAGGGAAAGCGTGGACCACTGACTGCCCGACTGTGTGCAGTTAAAGCATGCTGAGGGCGTCATCCAGTGGACTGGGTCCCATCCTGAACCTCCGTGGTTAGGGCAGCACAGAGTGCGGGGCGGGGCAGGGAGCACACACACTTTCCAGACAGGCATGAATTTGAACTCCATGGTTTTACTATCTCCAGCATAAAGGTTTCTTTCTCTCTCTCTTTTCAGTGTCCAAAGCAAGATTTAGTTACGAGACAGATCTACCATAGTGACAGGAGGCGGCTCGAAGGGAGAAAAGACCCGATTTGGGTCTTAACATGTACCCTTGAAGCGCTAACATTTCCAGTTTAATCTTTAGCCTGAACTGCACCCTTGGCAACGCTGGATTGTACCAGAACTGGAAGAAGACACAGCCCTGACCACTTGGTAAAACCCCAGGACCGCGACCACAGCCTGAAGCTGCCCCGGCACTGTCCCAGCTCCTAGTCGGAGGGTAATTCAAGTTCAACCCAAGCACCCCTCAGATGCTACCGCCTTGACACCTGCGCCCGGGGAACGCCCGGTCACATCCAACGCCCTCTGAGCTCTCCTCCGCGCCCCCTGTCCCAGTCCGCGCGCCTCTCTTCCCCGCGCCGCGGCACTGAGTTCTCACCTCCGGGACCGCGCAGTCCCCGCACCCCATGGATCTGCTCCCCGCCTCCCCGCCCCGGGACAGCGATGTCCGCCTCCAGGGTCACCCCCGTCCCCAAAGCCGGCGTCCCCGCCCGCTGTCCGCCCCCCTCCATCGGCTCCGGCGTCCCCGCCCCGGGCCGCGCTCCCGCCTCTAGGCCGCGCCCCCGCGCTCGGCCTGTGCGGCCTCCCGGGCGGCGGCGGGCGCGCCATGGGCAGCGGCAGCAGCCGGAGCGGCCGGGGCCCGAGGCGGCGGCGCAGCCCGGACAGCGGCAGGCCGGCCGAGGGGGCGGCGGCGGAAGGCGGGGCCGGGCCGCGGGTCCCCGGCGCCCGGGCCGAGGCGGACGCGGTGGCCGCGCAGGACGCGGCGTGCCCCGACCCTGCTCGCGGCCCGGCGGCGCCCCCCGACGGCAGAGACGAGACCCTGCGCCTGCTGGACCAGCTGCTGGCCGAGTCGGAGGCCTGGGGTCCCGCAGAGCCCCGTCCGGGACCCGAACCCCCTTCCCGACCCGCCGCAGGTGCCGGGAGCGCGGTGAGTGCGCGCGACCCCCGCCCACCGGCCGCATCCCCGGGCCGGCCGGGGAGCACCGCATCCCCAGGCAGGCGGGGACCTGCCCAGAGGGACGACTCCCGAGCCGGGCCGGGCTGGGCCGAGCCGGGCCGGAGCTAGAGGCAGCGCCGCCCTTTATCGGCTGCTCCGCCTGCTGCCCCGGAGCGGCGCTGGGACGCGCAGAGGCCGGCGGGACCGTGCCCGGCCCGGCCCCGGCTCCCTCCAGGCTCGGATGCTGGGGGTGGGAGGTGGGATCTGCCTTCGCGAAACACTCCGGCCCCAGCAGGGGGAGGCGGGCCGGGGCTGAGGCTGTGTGGAGAGAGAGCAGCGGACAGCTGGGCTGCGGTCAGGACCCATTCCTTTCCCGCGGCCTCAGCTAGCGGTTGCGTCACCGGCGGAGAGGACCGGGAGCTAGGGGAGGCGCGAGCCTGGGGCCGCTCCCCGCATCGCCTCAGCCGCCAGGCCTGGAGGCGCGGACGGAGGCCCCGGGCGGGCGCCGCGGGCAGCCCGGGCGAGCACCGAAGGCCGGTGACCGCGGGCAGCGGAGGCGCTGCTCCCTGCTGAGGGCGGGCCCTGGACGTGCCCGAGGCGGGCGTCACCGGGAACCCCTGTGCGCCTCGCGGCGGGGAAGCACTGTGTGCTGCGGGAAGTTTACACCTGCGGCTCCGGGGAGTGTGGAGTGGACAGGAAGGCAGGGCCACCCAGCCCCGCCCGTGGTCGGACGAAGTCCTGGGCCTCCTCCGGGCAGCAGGATGAGGAGCTGGGGAGGGAGGCCCGGTGGGTAGCTGTAGAAGGCTTTCTAGGGTCAGTTTTCTGAGTAAGTGACCACACCCGAGAAGGGTCTGGGGAAAAGGCTCCTTTGGGCCTGACTGGTCTGACGGGACCTGCGCGGGGCAACGAGGGCTTCAGGTTGCTGCACTCCAGCTGCACCCTCGGGGAGTGTCTCCGCAGGTGCATGTTTTAGCAGTCCACCTGGTCGGCAGCTTGACAAGCCAGTGTTGTAACGCGCCCTGGGCTCGCAGACAGGGATTGTTGAAGCCTGTAGGTCAAACAGAGAAAGAGGCTGGGGGGGGGGAGGGGCAAGGTGCAAAAATCATGATTTTTTTGTTTTCTTCAGGGAGGAAGGAAGAAAATGTCCTCTAGGGACCAGTGTGATGGTGCAGTGAGCCAAGCTGTCCACTCTGACCGTGGCCAGTTCATGTTCCAGCTGCTCCACTTCCCATCCAGGCCCCTGCTGATGCTCCTGGGAAAACAGCAGAGGACGGCCTAAGTGCTTGGGCCCTGCACCACATGGGAGGCCCTGCTGGGGTTCCTGGCTCCCGTCGTCCTCTGCTGGCTCACTCCCCTGTTGGCATCAATGGCCGGAGCTGATCTGATCTGAAGCCAGAAACTTCCTCCAGGTCTCCCACGTGGGTGCAGGGTCCTAAGGCCCTGGGCTGTCCTCCACTGCTTTCCCAGGCCACAAGCAGGGGGCTGGATGGGAAGCGGGGCCACTGGGACAAAGAGCAGTTCCCAAATGGGATCTTGGAGCTTTCAAGCAGAGGATTTAGCTGTCTGGTCTTTGTGCCAGCTCTAAAATGAACTCAGTAAATCCCAAAGAAAAAATAATATTTACCTATTTGTATAGCAGAACTACAGAGAACAGACCAAGCGACATCTTCAAGCCAAATACCATCAACACCCAGTGCTGAGGCTGATTGAGGTCAGATCAGACACTGTCCGAGTCCTGGCCTCCCCTTCCTTTTTTCTCTGTGACGTTGCAGACTTCTTCTGGGGCTCGGTAGCCTAGTGGCTAAAGTCCTTGCTTTGCTGCGCCGGAATTCCATACGGGCACTAGTAAAGTGTCCCAGGTGCTCCACTTCCCATCCAGCTCCCTGCTTGTGGCCTGGGAAAGCAGTCGAGGGCGGCCCAAAGCCTTGGGACCCTGCACCCATGCAGGAGACCTGGAAGAGGCTCCAGGCTCCTGGTTTCGGATCAGTTCAGCTCTGGCCATTGCAGCCAGTTGGGAAGTGAACCAGCAGATGGAAGAGCTTTCTCTCTGTGCAGCTCCTTTTCTCTGTAAATCTGACTTTCCAAGAAAAATAAATAAATCTTAAAAAAAAAAAAAAAGAAAGAAAGAAACTCCTCTGAGACAGGCTCAAGCCGACTCACTCAGAAGCTGTTTCTCTGGACTCTGTTTTGGAACAAGTCCTTGTCACGGTAGCCATGGGAAGCAGCTACTGGCGGCTGCTGCCTGGAACCCGCAGCCCTGACCACCGCGTAGGGAGAGCAGTGCCCTCTGGTGGGGAGCATGAGCCTGACGCCAAAAGGGTGTTCAGATTTCCAGACAAAATAGCTTGAAACCCAAAGAAGGATGCTGCTTGGGTAAGAGGAAGGGACAGTGCAGCCATCCAGTGGAATCAAAGAGAATAAATGGTTGGTTGGTGCAGCAACCTGGGTGAACCTCAGAATCCATCGGGAGACCAAAGACGGACTCACAAGGGCAGTGAGCTCTGCTGAGCGCTTCCCTGGACATCTGTGGTGCCACCCACCTGCAGGACAGAGCCAGGTGACACCTGGCTGGCAGTGAGCTTGTTTGGTGTTTTGACGATGGAATTAAAGTTTGGGGAAAAGGTGTAAAAAGAATCAGTGGTTTTTGTACCAAAAATAAACTTGCATTTTCAGTGCCTCTTCCATGAGCTTTCTGAAGTGTGTGCATGTTGTGGGTCAAAAACTTCCCTTCAGCCATCTGCAGTTGGTCCTGTATCAGTCCCCCATGTGACTGATGTGTGCAGACACAGGAGGCTATGGAACCGTGAGTTCAAAGGAAAGTGTAATACAGCAAGCAGCATGTCATATAGTCTAGCAAATAAAATTCGCTACTGATTTATTTTTAAAAACAAACCTAATTTTGACATGTGCATACACCTGTCTGTGAGAGTCTGGGAGATTGTGATAGTCGTGGTTGCTTTTTTCTGGAATTTTCCTAGAGACCCCAGGGATGGTGTGCATCCCTCCTGCTGAGTCCTTGGCCCCGGGGTTCAGTCATGTTCCCACCTCCCCAGCCCAGCCTGCAGAACCCCCCACGTCTGACCAGCAGGCTGCCCATTGGCCCCTGCGGGAGCCTTGTCAGCCACCAGGGGCCGCTGTGTCTTTGTTCCACATTTGTGTGTGAGGGGGAAGCCTAAGGGTTAAAGGAGGGGTCAGGCCTGGAGGTGCAGAGCAGCTGGGCACAGCCATGCTGAGTCAGGGAAAGGGGAGGGAGGCCTCCCTTGTACGCCAGTCTGGGTCCTGGCTGCCCTGAGAGGCTGCAGCAGCCCTGCTGACCCACACACGTACGCACAGACCCCGCTGACCACACACAGACACACAAGCCCTCCTGATCACACCACACAGCCTGCTGGTCACACACACAGAGCCCTGCTGACCACACACACACACACACACACACATCCCTGCTGACCACACACATACACACAGACATATACACACACAGCCCTGCTGACCACACACACACACACACACACACACACAGACATACACAGCCCTGCTGACCACACACACCCACACACACACATCCCTGCTGGCCACACACACAGAGCCCTACTGACCGCACACACACACACACACACAGCCCTGCTGGCCACACACACACACACACACACACACACACACACAGACATACACACACAGCCCTGCTGACCACACACAGACATACACAGCCCTGCTGACCACACACACACACACACACACACACAGCCCTGCTGACCACACACACACACACACACACACACACCCATACCCGATCACGTCTCTTTGACTCAGCTGTCCTGCTGGGTTCTGGGAATGGTGCTTGTGACACACAGTCGTGCCGAGAGGAAGGGCAGCCTAACAGGTGACAGCAGAGGTTGAGGGGGAGACGGGCCCAAGGGAGGGGACCTCCTGATGCATGGCATGTGGATGGGGATGGAAATGTCACTCTTCTTCTGGGTTGTCTCCCAGAGGGGGACGTGGGGAGGCCAGCCAAGAGAGTGCTGGGTGTCCCCGGGGACCCAAAGCAGGGCTTTGGTCCATCACACCTACTCCACCTCTGATCCAACACTGCTTATGGGCCGGGAAAGCAGGGGAGGATGGCCCAGATCCTTGGACCCTGCACCCACGGGGGAGCCTCAGAAGAAGCTTTCCTGGCTTCAGGTGAGCTGAGCTCAGCCATTGTGGCCATTTGAGGAGTGGGCCAGCTAAGTGCCTTCTGCGAGGATGGCTTGGATCTTTATGATGTCATTCGTGGGCCATGCGAAGTTCCCAACTAGAAATCCACCTGCAGTTGGTTCATCATCTCTCCAGTGCCACCTGCACTTGCCGTGGGGACTCCTTCCATGGCCTGTGGGTTGGACACTCCCCACAGCTACGGAGCCCCCACATCCTGGGGTCTAGCTCTGGCCCCACTTCTGAATCCAGCTCCCTCCTGATGCACAGGCCATGGGCTGGTGGGCAGGAGCAGCAGGTGATGGGCCAAGTCCTGGGCCACTGCCACCCTCACAGGAGGAGCCCCAGGCTCTTGGCTTTGGCCTAGTCCTGCCCGGGAGAGTGGACAAGCAGGTGGAAGAGCTCCCTCTGCCTCTCTGCCTTTCAAACTCAGGTTTGCATGTTTAATAAATGAGCTCAGTGTATGCAGAATGTGTGGGGTCCCTCTGCCTCTCGCAGGGGCAGTGGCCGTGTCTGCTCTGACAGGTCCTGTGCTCCGGGCTACCATGCACACAGGAAGTCCTTCCACCCTCCTTCGTCTAGGGGCTCTCCCCGCAGGCAGGTTTCAGGAGTACAGCCAGGCCAGTCAGGCAGTTGGGAAGGCACCTGCGGCTGGGAGAGGCCGGGAGGCTGGGCTGCTCTTCAGCAGCTGCATAGGCCAGAGCCCGAGAGGTGAGCCAGGGAGAGGTGACTGACTGCCCCAGGCCCGCCTGCTCCTGGGCCCTTCCCTCTGCTGCTGGGCACCCGTGGGGATCTGGCAACAGACAGGCATGGCCCCGGGCTCTGTGCTTTGCTGTGATTTCTGACAGTACATGGGAGCCACTGGTTACGGGGTCCCTGCCACAGTCCCCTCATCCCCTGTCTCTGACTTCAGAGCTGGCATGGGTGATAGGCGCTGCCTGTGTGCTGCGCACGCCGGGCGGGGGCCCCTCTGCCCATGCCAGTCCTCCCCACAGAAGTCAGCCCTGCTCACTCTGTGCTGTAGAGACCTCAAGCGTGGGTGGGTGGCTTTGAGAGGGCCGTCAGTATCCTGAGTGCCAGGTCCTCCTACCCCAGCCCACCGTTAGTCCCCTTAGGTTCATGGAGCCCCTGTCTCCTGTGGTTTTGGTTTGTTTTTTAATTTTTAAAAACTTTTTTCTCCCAAAAGGGTAATAGGAGATAAATTCTGAATCTTTGTATTTGAAGATATCGTTGGTTTTCTCTAATCTTTAAAAAGATTTATATCTACTTGAAAGGCAGAGAAAGAGGGAAGAAAAAGGAGAGGGAGAAAGATCTTCCATCTGCTGGCCTGCTCTGCAAATGGCCGCATCGGCCAAGGCTGGGACAGGGCACAGCGGAGCGCCGAGGGCTAAGCCCATCCTGGGCTCCTGCATTGGAGCAGGACCCAGGCCCCCCGAGCACTGCGCACTTGACCCATCATCTCTGATGCTGTGCCGGGTTCATCAGCGGGAACCTGGATCATAAGTGAGTAGCTGGGACTTGGCCGAGTGCTGCCACACAGGAGGCCTGCATTGCAAGCCGCAGCTTAACCTAACACCACAATGCCAGTCCTGGTTGGCTCTAACTTGACAGATAATCATTTAGAATTAAAACTGAGAGTTTGGAATGACTTTGCCTCATATCCCGGGACTATGGTCGCAGTGGTGCCAGGTTGCTGATGACTTGGGTGGTGTCAGCTGGCCCCTGGTTGCTTTCCTAAAAGCAGTCAGGATCTTTCTCCTCATCCCCTGGCCTAGTTCATCATGCTGTATGGAAATGACTTGATGGATAATTTGTAAACAGGGATTTACTGCTCACAGCTCTGGGGGTCTAGGAAGTCCCTGGTCCCTGCAGAGGCACACAGATGTCCTGATGCCAGCTGGTGGCACTCCAACAGGCAGGGAGTCTGGTTCTGATTCTGTCACTTCCCCTGTCTCCTGGCCTCAGTTTTCTAAGCTGTGAAATGGGAGTGCCTGAGCTCTGGGGCTGCCGCCGATGCACACGAAGCCAGAGCCCAGGACAGGCTGCATCCCAGCACCTGTGACACCTTCTCTCCTTCCTCTCCAGGCACCCCCAGAAGGCAGCGCCGACAACCGGGTGGAGAGCAGCAGTGCCCCTGAGTAAGTAAGGGGTCCACCTCCTATTCCAGACTTGGGGTCTTCTCCAGGGCTCCCCCTGCTCCCAGAGCCCTCTGGCCCCACACTTCCTCCAGGTGCCACCTCTTCCAGGGCAGAGGCCGGAAGGTCATTCAGTCGCTCTGACCTGCCTCCTGAGCAGGGTCACAGCCCAGAGCAAGGTCACAGCCTCAGCCTCACCAAGGCACTCCTGACCCTCTCCATTCCTCAGTCTCCACTCCCACCCTCATGTCTGCGAACCACATGCCCCTTGGCCTGCAGATGTGACAACCTGGGTGGGTGCAGTGGCCTACCCACGGCTCTGGCTCAGTATCACCAAGGAAATGTGCTTAGAACCCTGAAAAATATCAGGCAACCCCAACTCTCCTTCTTTGAAACCCCCAGGCCCAGGGCCCAGGCTCTCCCTGGGTGCCCCAGCCATGGAGTGGAGCTGGGCCTGGCTGCTGGGGGCTTCCTGGGCCCTGGGCTGGGTCGGCTTTCCACCCTGGCCACTCTCCCCTCAGCTTGCCATCTTACTGTGGCGACAGAGGCACTGAGGCATCACCCAGCAAGGAGCGAGCGCCTGGCTCAGCGGCAGCCAGGGATGTGCTGGGCGGAGGGCCAGGGCATGTTCCAGGCCAAGGGCCCTGCGCAGCACAGGGGAGCTTCTGGGCGTGCTGTACTGCCAGGGGACTCTGCCTGCCCCTAGGAGCGTATTCCGAGAGGCTGCAGCAAGGGGCGGCTTGGAGACCTGGAGTAGGCTCCTGGCTTCAGATTGGCTCAGCTCTGGCTGTTGTAGCCACTTGGGGAGTGAGCCAGTGGATGGAAGATCTTCCTTTCTGTCTCTCCTTCTCTCTGTGAAGCTGCCTTTCCAATAAAAATAAATAAATATTTAAAAAAATATTTATTTGAAAGACGGAGAGTCAGCGAGGAGGGAGAATCAGGGAAAGAGGCCCTCCACCCTCTAGTTCACTCCTCAAATGACCACAGTGGCCAGGGCTGGGCCAGGCTAAGCCAGGAGCCGAGAGCTTCAGCCGGGTCTCACACATGGTGCAGGGGCCCAAGCAGTTGAGCCATTCTCTGCTGCTTTCGCAGGTGCATTAGCAGGGAGCTGGATCAGAGATGGAGCAGCCGGGGCTGCTGCTCTGATGTGGGATGCTGGCATTGTGAGAGGCAGCTCAGGCAGCTGGGGGACAGCGCCAGTCTGGGCAGATGTCCCACGGATGCTGGGTGCCAGAACCTGTTGTGAGTGCATGCTTGTATGTGGGACACGCTCCTCCACACGGCCTTGCCTTCTTAGCGCAGGACACGGTGACAGCATATGGGTTCTGCCCTTTGCATGGGTTGCCAGAAGCAGTGAGTTTACTTCCAGTTGGCCCTGCCTGTGTTTTTTCGCCACCAGAGGCGGAGGGAGCAGCTGCACGAGGCCTGAGGAGCAGTCCGCCGTCTCCTATGACCCATCAGAAGAGGAACTGATGGCCAGCATTGAGCGGGAGTTCTGCCCCGGGGCCCACGCTGACCAGGCTGCGGGATACCCAGCTGTATAGTCCCGGGTCTACCTCCCCACCCAGGGTCCTCGCTGGAGCTGGCCCACCTCCAAAATGTGGCCACTTCTGGATCTTTGAAAACCGGCCTTTTCAAGTTCACATTGAGAAAGTACTGATGTGGCCTGCCATAAGGCTTGCTGGTGCTGGCAGTGGAGCTGGGAGAGTGGTCAACTGTGCAGACCAGGCCCAAGGCTGCACAGGTGTATGGGCAGTGACCGCCCACTCCACATGCCTCCTCTTGGTCATGGGGAGCCTGGCTGAGGACTTTTCCTCGTGTCTGGAATGCATCCCCTTGGTGGCCACCCATTCCACGCAGTGGGGAGAGCTCACCAAGGCATGGGTGATGCCAGCAAACTCCTCCTGGCAGAGCTCATCCCCCGCCCCCCCAAGCACTTCTGGAAGATTCTGCTGTGGAAGGGGCACAAAGTGTTTCCCTCAGTCCTCAGTGGATTCAAAGCAGACTTCCACTCTGCTCCCCCTGCAGCTTCTCGGGCTGGGCCTGGACTCTGCGTTTCTACCCAGCACAGCTCTGTGAGCCCCCTGTTCACCTCCTCACCTCTTGCCTCTCTGGCCTCCCATGTGGGTGACGAGCTGGGAGCAAGGGCTGGATGCCGCAGCTCCCATGGCTATCCTGGGGATGCACAGGACACCCCCCCCCCATGCACCCTCCCTCCAAGGTCCTCACCAAGTGACAATCTGGGATTGTACAACACCAGAGCCACTGCCATCCTTTATCCCCAAGGTGCAGAACGGCCCCGGCCACAGCTCTCCTTCCACCGGGCAGCCTGATGTATGCCTGGGGGAGACCCTGTCCGTCCCTTCCTTCCCAGGTAGCAGGGTAGAAAGTTGCTTCCCAGCCCACAGCTGCCAGGGCAGACTTGCCAAGGATGCTGAGCAAGGGAGGCAGGTGCGGACTGGGCACAGGCAGATGCTGGGCCTGGCCCAGAAGCAGCTTGCTGGGGATGGTTGCTAGGAAGGCCAAGAGGCACTTCTTCTAAACAGCTGGTGAGGGCATCAGGATCACACAGGGATGTGGGAACACCAGGGCAGCTGTCGCCAGAAAGCACAGCCTGCATCTCCTAGCACGGCTGCCTGCCGCACCATGCCCAGGACGCTGACGTCACTGGAAGGCGGGCACTGCCATGAATTGTTACTTGACAAGGTGCCTTTGATGAGCTGCTGGAGCCGTGAGTGCGAGGGGAGAGCCTGGAGCGGCAGGGCCGCCAGCTCAGCCCCTCCCCAGCACGGGGAACGCCAACGTACAGCTCCTGATACACTGCTGAAGCCATTACTCTTGTAATTACACAAATGCAGATTTTAAAAGCCATTAAAATTTTATTTCTTGTTGGTTCTGGCTTTGAATTTAATAATTCCACTGCTCACATTTTTGGGGGGGATTTATTTTATTTTTATCGCAAAGTCAGATATACAGAGAGGAGGAGAGAGAGAGGAAGATCTTCCATCTGATGATTCACTCCCCAAGTGGCCTCAACGGCCAGTGCTGCGCCACTCCAAAGCTAGGATCCAAGAACTTCCTCCAAGTCTTCCAAATGGGTGCAGGGTCCCAATGTTTTGGGCCATCCTTTACTGCTTTCCCAGGCCACAGGCAGGGAGCTGGATGGGAAGCAGGGCTGCCGGGATTAGAACTGGTACCCATATGGGATCCCAGTGCTTTCAAGGTGAGGACTTTAGCTGCTAGGCCACCACACAGGGCCCTGCTCACATTTTTTGAAAGATATATTTATTTATTTGAAAGGCAGAGTGTGTGTGTGAGAGAGAGAGAGAAATCCTCCATTGGTTGGTTCACTCCGCAGATGCCGCATGGCCAGCTGAAGCCAGCAGGCAGGAGCCTCATCCAGGTCTCCCACATGGCACAGGGCCCAAGGACTGGGCTGACTTTGCTGCTTTCCCAGGTCATTATCAGGGAGCCGAAGCAGAAGCAGAGCATCTGGGATTCTAGCCAAGCTGGTGCCTGTTAGGATGCTGGCAACGTAGGTGGTGGTTTAATCTGCCATGCTGCAATTGTGGCTCCCAGAATGTTTGCAGATTTCCATTGTTATTCTGTTAAGTTGGGCACATTCAGCTAGATTCCCAGGAAAAAGATCCTGGGGTGTTTACCACGAATTACCACAGGGTTATGAGCAAAATGTCTATCTGTGATAGTTACAGTCACCTGTCAGTGTCAAGAGTTCACTGCATGTGTGAATGCCATGAAATCATGAAAGGTGGATGTTTTACTTTAAGATTTTTTTGAAAAGCAGAGGAGGAGGGAGAGCAGGCTGTTCCATCCACGGGTTCACTCCCTAAATGATCGCAACAGCCGAGGCTAGAACAGACTTTAGGGGTTTGGGAATTCCATCCAGATCTCCGTGTGCGCAGCGGCCCACATACTTAGGCTGTCCTCCGTCGCATCCCCAGGCCACAACAGGGAGCTGGATGGGCAGTGGAGCAGCCAGGACACAAACTGGTGCCCCTTTGGGATCCTGGCACGGAGGGGAAGGATTAGCCTTTGTGCCAATATCCTGGGTTCTTACAAAGACATTTATTTATGTGTTTGAAAGGCAGAGTCAGACAGACGCAGTCTGCCCATGGGCGGCAGGGACTGGGGACTTGGGCCATCACCGGCTGCTTCCCAGGTGCGCTGGCAGGGAGCCAGATCAGGAGTGACACGGCACCCACACTCCAACACAGGATGCGCAAGCCCCAAGCCACGGCTTTTCCTGCGTATCACAATGCCCACCCTTGGTTTTCCTCTTTGTGCCTTGGCCAGGTCAGTAGGAAGAAAGGTCTCCAAAAAGGCTACTGCTGTCTGGTGAGGAGAGTCCAGGGTCACACCCACTGCCTGGTGACAGTCAGGACCCCTGGGGATAAGTAAGACCAGCGTGTGCACCCACACGCACACGCACTGCAGCAGCCAGAGCTGGGCTGGCCTGAAGCCAGGAACAAAGACATTCTTCCAGGTCTACCATGTGGTCACCCTCTCTGCTGCTCTCCCAGACGCATTAGCAGGGAACATCCATATGGAATGCTGCTGCCACACCACTGCTGATCCCCCAGAGCTGGGGCTGTTTTTGCATGATGAGATGAAGCCCTTTCGCTTCCAGACTTAGGAGAGCTGCCTCTCCCCTGGGGGTAGGTCCCTGAGAAAGAAGGCTGGTGCTTCGGATCCACAGAGGCGAACCACAGTGGATGGGCACTGGCCGTGGGGTGCAGCTCCTTGGCTCCAGAGCTCAGGCAGGTGCATGTTGCTGCCTGCAGCAGCGAGGAGATGGGCTTGTCCTTCCATGACCCAGGCCTGCATTGAGGCCATGAGCAGAGCAACCCCACGGGACTGAACCCTCACCTCTGTCCCCAGGGAGTGGACGCTAATGAGCCCAACTACGGCCAACTCGGCTGCAGGACAGACCCGCTTGTGGGGGAGGTGGAGACACGGCACAGAGAGGGTCTGAATTCCCCACTTGCTTGGCAGAAGGTTTGAATGAAAAGTGAAAAATGACAACTGAAGTTAACGAAGCACAGGTTCCAGAAACAGCCGTTTGTCTCTTTCAACATTTGCCCAGCAAATATTTGCAGAGGGTTCACGCCGTGCCAGGCCCTGTGCCAGCCAGTCCCTGGAGGTGCTGGATGAAGACAGGTGAGAGAGGATTCAGTGCTGTAGGAACAGTGGCTGGTCCCCCAGGAAGCTGTTGCTATCAGGACTCTGTGCTGATGCTTGTCAGACCCCACGTCTCCACTGCCCCTGCTGCCCTGGGCAGTGGGTGGATGCACCCAGGTTTCTACAGCAAGAATGCAGGTGTGGGCTGCAGGGCTGCAGCAGGGGCCCAGGGTTGGGGGAAGCCAGGACACCGGGGCTCAGCCTCACATGGCGCCCACCACTTGGTCCCCAGGGACTTCCAAACACCTGCTCCTAACCCCTGAGGACTTCTTGAGGCAGCGCACTGGGGTGAGCCAGCTGCTGCAGCCCCACATTCCCAACCTCCAAGCTGGCTTTTGGTGACCTAGGTCCCACTTCCTGCACCTCCTCTGGGGTTCCCCTGTGCCGTCAGCCCAGCTGTGGGTGTGGCCCCTGGTGGTCTGTACTGGGCAGGGCGGAGGTCGCATGACATTTTCCCCATTGTTAGACTGTTGTGTAGCATTTATTTCTATGATTACTTTAATGTTTAAACCACCAGGGCCAAGCACAGTAGCCTATTGGTTAAGTCCTCACCTTGCACGCGCCGGGATCCCATATGGATGCCAATTTGTAACCTGGCAGCTCCACTTCCCATCCAGCTCCCTGCTTGTGGCCTGAGCAAGCAGTAGAAGATGGCCCAAAGCCTTGGAACCTCGCACCCACGTGGGAAACCCAGAAGAGACTCCTGGCTCCTGGCTTTGGATCAGCTCAGCTCTGGCCATTGCAGCCACTTAGGGAGTAAACTAGAAGATGGATCTTTCTGTCTCTCCTTTCTGTAAATCTGACTTTCTTGGCCTTTTGGCTAAGATAGAGTGTAGCATCTGTTCTTTTTGTTTGTTTGTTTAAGATTTATTTTATTTTATTGGAAAGGCAGATATACAGAGAGGAGGAGAGACAGAGAGGAAGATCTTCCATCCAATGATTCACTCCCCAAGTGGCTGCAACGGTTGGAGCTGAGCCAATCTGAAGCCAGGAGCCTCTTCTGGGTCTCCCGCGCAGGTGCAGGGTCCCAAAGCTTTGGGCCATCCTCGACTGCTTTCCCGGGCCACAGGCAGGGAGCTGGATGGGAAGTGGAGCCGCCGGGATTAGAACCGGCGCCCATATGGGATCCCAGCGCGTGCAAGGTGAGGACCTTAACCACTGCGCCATCGTGCCGGGCCCAGCATCTGTTCTTATCAGATGCTTACCGTCCTCTAATATCTTATACTTCCTCTATCTGAGGACAACATATTAAATGGAATTTTGAAGCCTGGAGTTGGAATAGGAGCTCGCTCCATCCACTTTGCTCACTGACCTAGTATTGCAGTATCTCCAGGAACGGTGCAGCCCATTGGGGGAATTAAAAAAAAATATTATATTCCAGACCCTGAGGTAGGTACAGGCCTACAGTAGTCATTTAGTTTCTAGTTTGTTTGTTTATTTATTCAGCTTTTTTTAAGAGGCAGAGAGATGGGGGCGAGTTCCCGACTGCTTCTGTACTCCCCAGATACCCACAGCTGTAGCTGCACCAGGCCGAAGCCAGGAACCAGGAGCTCTCCTGGTGCTCCTGCGTGGCTGGCAGGGGCTCCGGAATCTGGCCACTTTCTGCTACTGGAGCAGAGCTGGCAGGGAATCAGAGTGCCTGGCTGCTGTCCTACCTGCTAGGCTGCATGCCCATCCTGAGGCGGGCAATGCCTTTCTCGGCCGCCCCAGCTGGGCAGAGACCCAGGCTGAACTGGGTCTCTCCTGCTCCAAGTGAGCTTTGTCTGCTGCAGGGGCAGCCGGGCGTTCAGGGTCAGACCTTTTGGGGTCAGGAGGTGAAGGGGTCCTGGGGTAGACCAGGACACTCACCATCCCTGCAGCACATGTTCTCTGAGGTCATCCTTCCCCGCCCCTGGTCACCTCCTCTCCCAGGTAGACATCACTACCTTGTCCCCCACATCCACCTGCTCCTATGAGCTGGCCTTCCCTGACCCCTGGACCACCACTGCCTGGAATCTGGAACCCCAGAGGCAATGGGAGTCATGTGGTGAGCCTTCTGGGCTGCTGGGCCTTCTGCATGTGGATAGCCGTGGGGAGGAAGCTTCATCTGCTGGGGCCATGCATGACCAAGCCATCACGGTGCAGTGAAAGAAGGCTGGACAGTTGAGTCTGGCAGATGGCAGAAGTTAAGGGGATTGGGGGGAGGGAATCCAAGAAAGGGAGGGATTCAGAGCACAGACATGCCCCTCCCCCGCCCTGCTGGAACTCCTGGAAGGGCAGTGCACAGCGGGTTACCTCCTGCCCCACTCATGTTGCCTCCTGGACTCCCACCAGGGTTTTCTCATTGCAAGCCCTGAGGTCCCACTGCTTGGCTGCTTGGCTGCCGGCCCTGCACCTCTCTAGCAGAAGACAGAATTGACTGCCCTCCGTGTGTGCATTGGCTGTCTTCCCATCTGATCTTTCATCTGCTGGCTCACTCCTCAAGTGGCTGCAATGGCTTCAGCTAAGCGAATCCAAAGCCAGGAACCAGGAGCTTCTTCCATGTTTCCCGTGCAGGATCCCAAGGCTTTAGGCCGTCCTCCACTGCTTTCCTAGATCACAAGCAGGTGGCTGGATGGGAAGTGGAGCGGCTGGGACACAAACTGGTGGTGATATGGGATGCTGAGCTTGGAGGTGGAGGATTAGCCAGTTGAGCCAAAGCACTGGCCCTCAGTGTGTATGTATGAGTGGGTGGAGAGATAGATTTGTGTGGGGGGCAGTGGATGGGTACTTAGAGGAATAGGTAGGTGGGTGGGTGGGTGGATGAGTTTTAAGTAGGATGAGTGGGTAGATGGGATAGATGTGTGTGTGGGTGGATTGATGAATAAGTGGATAGGAGGGTAGGTTTTAGGAAGGATGAGGGATGGATGGATGGGTGAGTGCTTATGTGGCTAATGGTTGGATGGATGGGAAGGTGGTGGGTGGATGTGTAGATATGTGCTTAGACAGACAGATGTGGGGGGAAGGATGGGTGTGTGGGCTGGTGGACAGATTGGTGGGTAGATGGGAAGGTGGTGGGTGGATGTGTAGATATGTGCTTAGACAGGTGTGCGGGATGGGTGTGTGGGCTGGTGGACAGATGGGTGGGTAGATGGTGGGTGGGATCCCTTTCATCAGGGAGCTTACATCGCAGCCAGCATATAGCATTTGCAATAAACCAAGTTCAATCAACTCTGGCATGTTCTTTCCAGCTGTCAGAACTTTTGCCTGGTAGGGGTTCAGATGAGCACCCCAGAAAGCTGCCCGTACCAGAGCCCTTCAGTGAGGCGGGAGGTGGGGTGAGCTCTTGGTCCTGCACCTTGCACTCCTCTGCCCCAGAGCCGCCCTGAAGCGTCCGGCTTCTGCCTCACCCACTCTGCTCATTCTGGGTATTCTCTGAGCTCAGCAGCAATGACCAGGGCACCTGTCCCTGTTGGCAGTCCGCTGGCTTCTTGGTGGGGGAAGGGAGAGAGCTTAGCATGTGAGCCCCACAGCAGAGTGGGGAAGGGCTGTGCTGCCCGCCTCTGGGGTGGGGAGGCCCTGCACAGCACACAACGCTGCCTGCCTACAACCCTGATGGGGTCTGGCTGATAGCAAAACACCTCACATTCCTCTATTTCTTATTTTTAATTTTTAAAAGACCAATTTCATTTATTTGGAAGACAGTTGCAGAGAAAGAGGAAGAAAGAGGGAGAGAGGAGCATTGTCCCCAGCCCCTCCCCAGCTGGCTGCCATAGCCGGGGCTGGGCCGGGAGCCAGGAGCTCCATCCAGGTCTCCCATGTAGGTGCAGGGTTCCAAGCACTTGGGCCATTCTCCGCTGCTTTTCCAGGCCCTACTGGCAGTAGAGCATGCAGGACTTGAATCAGAGTGCCACAAGGGACACTGATGTTGCAGGCAGTGGCTTAACCCACAGTACCACAATGTTCCAGCCCCTATGTTTCTCCCCCTAACCCCCATTTTAAGTTAATTTACTGGGGCCGGTGGCGTGGCCTAGCAGCTAAAGTCCTCACCTTGAGCATACCAGGATCCCATATGGGCGCCGGTTCTAATCCTGGCAGCTCCACTTCCCATCCAGCTCCCTGCTTGTGGCCTGGGAAAACAGTGGAAGACAGTAAAGCCTTGGGATCCTGCACCCAAGTGTGGGATGCCTGGAAGAAGTTCCTGGATCCTGCCTCCGGATCGGCACAGCACCAGCCGTTGAGGCCACTTGGGGAGTGAATCATCGGACGGAAGATCTTTCTCTCTGTCTCCCTCCTCTCTGTATACCTGACTTTCCAATAAATACATAAAAATCTTTTTAAAAAAGTTAATTTATTATTATTATTTTACTGGAAAGGCATATACACAGAAAAAAGATATAGACCTGAAGATCTTCCATCCACTGGTTCACTCCCCAAGCAGCTGCAATAGCCCGAGCTGAGATCTGAAGCCAGCAGCCAGGAGCCATGACTTTCCTCAGGTCTCCCATGTGGATTCAGGGTCCCAAGGCTTTGGGCTGTCCTTGACTGCTTTCCCAGGCCACAAGCAGGAGCTGGACAGGAAGCGGAGCAGCTGGGATACAAACCAATGCCCATATGGGATCCTGGCACTTGCAAAACAAAGACTTCAGCCACTAGGCTATCATGCCGGGCCCTCGAGTTTTGCTTTTGTGATGCTTACATATCAGAGTATTATGAATGTGTGTGTGAGAGAGAGTGGATGCTCCCCTATCCACTGGTTCACTCCCCAAATGCCCTCAACGGCTGGGAATTCAGTTCAGGTCTTCCACTCAGATGGCAGGGTTCCAATGACTTGGCCTAGCAGGGGTCCACATCAGCAGAAAACTGGCATCAGGGTCTGGGTGTGGATTCCAGGGCCTCCCAAGAAGGACCTCTTTCAACCTGTATCCCATCTGCTAAGCCAGACACCAGCCCCTGTCCTTCCCACATGCAGACCCCTGCACACACAGCACAGGTAGCCAGGCCCTAGACTCATCCCTTTACCCCTCCCTGGCTGGGCTGCTGCACGGTGGGGCCTTGGGGACCCCTGCTTGCACACAGCTTAGGGGCACAGGCTATCTGCACCTCTGCCAGGAGAAAGAAGGGAAAGAAGGGAGGAAAGGACGGAAGGAGTGGGAAAAAAAAGGAAAGCAAATAAAATCTTAAAGAGAAGATATGGGAGGGGCACAAAGTGTCAGGTGGGTCAGTGGCCCCGGATATGCCAATGGCCCTGGCCAGCGGGTGGCAGAAGTCAATGGCTCCTCAGGCACACCTCTGCCAGGCACTCTGGGCATAGGACCAGCACGACCCTGTGGTGCGGCTACAGCAGGGTCTAGATGTGCCAAGAGGCCCTGGTGCCACATTCTCACATGCTGCCTGCAGGAGGAAGCCCCCGGAAGGCAGAGCCTGGGAGGGCGGGGCTCACCGGGCTGCTCTCCACTCCCTGGCTCATCCTCCACATCTCCCTCTGCAATCCGCACCCTCGGGTTGTCCTGTCTCGGAAGGGAGCCGCATCCACCATGTGCTTGCTTACGCAGCTCCTCTCACATACTTTAGCTGCAGCAATGGGAAGTTTGCTATGGCAGTGACCGGAGCAGTCCTTCACGGGCCAACAGGGAACTGCAGAGCAGGGGCATGGGTTAACGACGCAGCACGCCACACCACACAAGGCCAGTTTACAAATCAAAAAAGCTTTATATGATTCAAAGAAAAAAAGTTACATTACATATACTCATTTAAATAAGAAGTCTGTTACATAAAACATAATTATGAAACATTCTCAACTTTATTATCCAAACTACTTAAAAGGCTCAAGCTCAAGAAAGATCCAGCACAACTGCTCGGGGATAAAGTGCACGAGGGACCGGCCGGGCGGACGCGGCAAGGCACGGCTCTCCGGAGGACTTCTCGGACAGAACTGCTGTCCAACCCAGAATCGTTCAACAAACTGCGGGGTCGGGGGAGGAGAGAGGGCAAGGAAGGGCCTGCTTACAGATGTCACCAAATCTAACAGGAATAGACACTTAAATTAAAACCCTTCTCAGCACACCTATCATGTAGAAAACAACACTGAGAACGAAGTTCCATGGGACAAACAAGCCAACGCCCAGAGGCCTTGTCTTCCCCATGGGACTGACAGAACGTGGAAGAAGCTCCAGATGTAACACTATCTGGGACACACACAGCGGTTAACACGTCGGCGCCGACTCAACAGGAGTCAGAGAAAGGCAGGGGGCAGAACGCCAGCTATGTACAGTCACGGGGCACCTGTAACTGTGCTGCCCCAGATAGCACAACACTCGCCCAGGGAAGCGTCCAGGAACTCCCCCGACACTCCCACCCATGCACAAACATGTCATAAAGCAGCTGATATCAAACGGGGCACTGGGTGAGTGTCAAACACAGCAAGTGGCGAGGGCTGGATCAGACCACGAAGCCCCCAACACCAGGCAGAATGACCCCACAGCCCACCTTGCCATTATTTAAATAAGGGCACGTGCCAGCCACTGAGACACAGAGACGCGATCTAAATGCTGCCCAACAGAACACACCTGTCGCCAGACATGCCCACAGGTAACGAGCCCTGTCGGCAGCTTCCCGGGGGCAGGAGGCCCGTCTCCTAGATCCAGGCCGTGTGCTTGCACACCTTCAAAGCGGTGGCAAGTCACAGAAAAGCTCACGCCCACGAGTTTTCTGTTGGCGCTAAAGCAAAGCGCAGCTGGCGAGCCCAGAGGCCTTCCCACGGGCTCTCCCACTGCGCAGAGCTGTCTGGCTCACGGCCGCTCCCTCCCCGGTCTGCGGCCTGGGGGAGCCGCTGCGCGGCAGGGCTGACCTCATCTTCTTGGCCGTCTCTGGTCAGCAGGCCATGCTGCCGCCCGGAAATGCTGAGCAACTGACTGCAGACCTTCTCCCTTCCCAAGAGACACCTATTTCACCCATTCTTAGATCTGAGAAGTTGGGTAACAACCTGTGGTTTTTCGTGGCTGAATCGTGTGCCTGCTTTACTCAAAATGCAGTGTCGTCATAGACACGTGTCCTTAAGCACTGGGAAGAAGGCAGTAAAATCATTTATCTAGGTGATCAGAGCACCAACATCATAAATATTTTCATAAAAAACAGTATAAAAATTAGTACCCTGTTTCATTTCTACAAAACATGAATAGAAAGGTTGTAAAAACCCAGATTTTGTAAACTTTATTGCCAAAATGCTTGTCTGGATGCTGGTGATTTAGATTATCAAATCTTCCATTTCCTTAAAAAAAAAAATCTGAAACTACAAAAGATGTTAAACAGGGTCTCGAGCAGAAAAGCAAAGTAGATGCACTTTCTCAGAACCAGCCCCCAGCCTGCTGTCCAAGACCACCTTCTGCAGACGCCCCCTGCGGGCCGAGCCTCAGGCAGAGGCGGGCATGAGGGCGAGGGGGCCGCGGGGGCCGCCCGCTGTGGTGATCCTGTTCAGCTTGCCAACCTCGGCTTGCCAGCCTGGGACCTTCTTGGTGCTCATGTGGCGCCGGGCGTGCTTGGTCAGGTGGTCACTGCGCATGAAACGCCGGTCACACACTGGACATACGAACTTTTTCTCTCCCGTGTGAGTTCTGCGGTGCCGAGACAGCTCATCAGAGCGGGCGAACTTCTTATCACAACCGTCCCAGCTGCAGGTGAACGGCTTCTCCCCTGCGAGGCGAGAAAACACGAGTGGGCGCTCAGTAGCTGCTGGACCGGCGAACTAATGGTGTCTAAACATTCTCTCCAGACAGCCAATCACTCAGAAACCAAGAAATCTTCCACTGTGGGTACTTCCAGCTACACCTAGGATGCAGTGTGCCAGGGGCAGAGATGAAACCAATCTTACGTTTCCAAGGAGACTACAAGGCCCAGCGTCTTCGCTCAGTTGGCTGAACCTCCCCTTTCAGGCACCGGGATCCCATGTGGGCATCGATTCACATCACGGCTGCTCTACTTCCCATCTAGCTAGCTCCCTGCTTGTGGTCTGGGAAAGCAATCGAGGATGGCCCAAAGCCCTGGGAGCTTATATTTACATGGGAGAAGTTCCTGGATCCTGGCTGTAGTTCAGCTCAGCTCTGGCCTTTGCAATCACTTGGGGAGTAAATCAGCGGATGGAAGATCTTTCTGTCTCTCCTCTTTGCAACTCTTTCATTCTAATAAAAACAATAAATCTTGGACCTGGCATGGTAGCCTAGTGGGTAAAAGTTCGTCACCTTGGGGCCCGGTGGCGTGGCCTAGCGGCAAAAGTCCTCGTGTTGAACGCCCGGGGTTCCCATATGGACGCGGGTTCTAATCCCAGCAGCTCCACTTCCCATCCAGCTCCCTGCTTGTGGCCTGGGAAAGCAGTCGAGGACAGTCCAAAGCTTTGGGACTCTGCACCCATGTGGGATGCCCGGAAGAAGTTCCTGGATCCTGGCTTCGGATGGGCATAGCATCGACCATTGCGCTCACTTGGGGAGTGAATCATCGGACAGAAGATCTTCCTCTCTGTCTTTCCTCTCTGTATATCTGACTTTCCAATAAATAAATAAATCTTAAAAAAAAAAGTCGTCACCTTGCACACACTGGGATCCCATATGAGTCTGTTGACACTGTCGTGAAAATGTTTTTTTTTTTTTTAGCTGAGCTGGTCTGATGCCAGGAGCCTCTTCTGGGTCTCCCACGCAGGTGCAGGGTCCCAAGGCTTTGGGCCGTCATCTAATGCTTTCTTAGGTCAGAAGCAAGGAGCTGGATGGGAAGCGCAGCAGCCAGGACACAGTGCGCATACAGGATGCTAGCATTTGCAGGTGGAGGACCAGCCCATTGAGTGACCATGCCAGCCCCACTGTTTTTTGTTTTCTGACTAATGGGCCCAGGCCTAAGTACTTGGCCGGCCTGCACTGGGCCTGGGCCTTGACGCGGAGCTGCTGGCACCTCCTGGACCTCTACTGAAGAGCCCACTTACTTACAGGTGGGGGCTGCTGACCAAGCGCACTAACCCAGGCCCCTTACACAGCCCAATTCGCAGGACACCTGAGCAAGCCTGCCTTCACCTCGTGCCCAGCTGCCCTGGCCTGCAGCACTGTTCAGATGTTAACACAGGGAATGACCAAGCGCTGCTCAGCTCCTCAGTGACACTCGCCCCAGCTCCAGTGTGCATGGCGAGTGGCCACCCTCTGACCACAGTCTAAGAAAACAGTCCCACAGTCTAAGAAAACTCGACTGGCCAGAGCCAACTGGACAGTAAAGAAACCACTAGGTCATCAAGAGCCTTTGTAATGTCTCCTTCTACAGTAAGCACTTTACTCACAAAGAAAGGAGGGGCCACACCATGGCACAGTATAGCTGAAGCCTCTGCCAGTGGTGTAGGCATCCCATATGGACTCCAGTTTAAGTTCCAGAGGCTCCACTTCCAATCTCTCTCCTGCTAATGTGGCTGGAAAAGCAGTGGAAGACAGCCCAAGTCCTTGGGACCCTGCACCCACGTGATGATCTGAGAAGCAGCTCCCAGCCCCTGCCTTTGGACCAGCCCAGCTCCAGCCATTGTGACCATTTAGGAAGTGGATTAGCAGATGAAAAATATCTCTCTCCTTTCAAGCTAAAAGTAGTAATAAATGTTTAAAAGATTTATTTATTTTTATTGCAAAGTCACATATACAGAGAGGAGGCGAGAGAAAGAGAGCGAGAGAAAGATCTTCCATCCGCTGATTCACTCCCTATGTGACCGCAGCAGCTAAAGCTGAGCCAATCCGAAGCCAATCTGAAGCCAGGAGTCTCTTCCGGGTCTCCCACTCCGGTGCAGGATCCAAAGGCCTTGGACTGTCCTTGATTGCTTTCCCAGGCCACAAGCAGGGATCTGCATGGGAAGCAGGACTGCTAGGACACAAACCAGCATCCATATTGGATCCCAGACATGCAAGGCAAGAGCTTCAGGCAGGCTACCAAGCTGGGCACAATTTAATCTTTAAAGGGAATTATTTGGCTAAAATATTGTAGACTTCAAACTTTTCTGGGCAGATGGTGTCTCCTGGAACTCGAGCTGTGGCAGGCAGGTTCAAAGACAACCGCCAAGAACAAATAAAGAGGACAGAAGTTCAGGAATGTCTTTCACACAACCAACCAAAAAAAACCTTTAAGGCTAAAAACAAAGAAAAACCAGTTATTACTGCATAGTGAACGAGGTCAAAGTTAGCAGTGAGTAAAGCTTTTATAAATATCCGTAAGGCGCCTGCACACTTTTCCAAGGCCCTTGCTCTGGAACCTCTATTCCTCGATGGTCGCGAGAACGAGCCTGCGCATGCAGCCGAAGCTGTAGGACTAAGGGCTCATTCAGCTGTCGCACAGTAGTCAAGAAACGGAAGTCCTCCCAAAAGATCAATAAAGCAAGCATTTTATACAAAAAACAAAACAACAAAAAACAAACCAACTTTTCTGTAGTCTGGACAAAACTTTCCCTTCAGCAAGCCATGCAGACTAGAAACTATCACCAAATGCAGTCTCTAAAACGCAAAGCAGCATGGGATATCTCCTATAGACTGAAAGGGGGCCCTGTTGAGTCCCCCAGAACGCTTCAGAGAGGGGACTGCTAGCACCACACCAGGCGAGGGACAGGATGGAGTGGGGCCACTGAGGGCTGACAGGAGGCGTGCCTCCTTGGGCCAGGCCACTATCCCACAGTGCACCTGAACTGGGGTGGGGCTGGCCAGGCAGGCTTCAGGAGGGTCTCCCACACTAGGCTGCTGCACCCACTGGGGCACACGAGAGCCAGAGCTGGGCGTGGGCTAAGGGCAGATGGGGATAAGATGCTCTAGCTGGCAACACATGAGCCAGGCTGGGGCCTGGCCTGACAGGGTTTCTGGAGAGACCTCCCCGCCATGCCTTGCACACAGCACAGTGCGTGAAAGCTGGGGCTGGGAGCGGGCCTGGCCAGGAGTGCTCCCTGAATCTCATGCGCCTGAGCCCATGGACGGGTAGCCTGGCCTGGCCCACCTGCCTTACTGACTCCTTCGCAAGGATGAAGAGCAAAGTCAGGCACACATGGAAGATAAGCCAGACTGCTTCCGAATCCAACAGAGACCTCCAGCACCTCTTCAAAGGGAGGAGAGACAAGCAAGTTCCACAGCGAGCACCAGGTCTGGGGACACCATGAGGTCGCCGAAGACAGCCAGCTGGCCCTAGAACTCGTACCCACAGAACAATGACGAGCCTGTGTGAGGACAGATGGTGTTTGCCACCTCCTGTCAACAAAGGCAGCAACAGCTTACAGCAACAAGAATGGGTCCGGCAAGCAAGGAGCCGTCGGGCGAGGGAGAGGACTGGGATAGCCGGGCAGCGAGCGAGACGCAGTCAGGCCTCCCCCACGTCTCACTCACGGAACACCCCCGACAGTCTTCCCATGCCGGGTTCCTGGAGGTGGCACCACAGGACCACTGCCATTCCCTGACAGCAAGGGACGGCAGGCCCTCTCCCACCCTACCCCCGACACTGGGAGGAAAGCGGAAACAATTTCTCACCCACCTCCCCCAGCCTCATCCCTACTCACATGGGCCTGGGAGCCGCTAACCTTTGGAGGAAAGTTTAAAATCAACAAAAAGCTACCAGAGGATCACCTTCAACCAGCCACCTCTGCCTCTGCCCTGCTCACAGCCACAGTGCTGCCAGAAACCCGCCAGTGGGCTGGGGCCACGCATGTGACCCCCCGTGGCCCACCCCCCAGCGCCTACCTGTGTGTGTGCGGAGATGAGCCTTGAGGTGGGAACTTTTGAAGTACGTCTTCCGGCAGCCTGGGAAATTGCAAACGTAGTTTCTCCTTCGGGAGAAGTCTACCTGAGGGGCACAGTTCTGGCTGGAGGTGATGAAGACTGGAGCAGGCGCCAGGGGCAGCAGCTTGGTGCTCCCGACAGCCACGACGCTGGCCGGGCAGGATGCGGGCTGGGGCAGCGTGCCAGGTGGCAGCACCAGCATCACCGTGCCCTGGGGCACCGGCGGGCCCACGAGCACGGGCTGGGGCAGGGTGGCCGCCTGGGGAAGGATGGGCTTGACAGTCCCCGCTGCCAACTGCGTAGGGGGCTTCAAGAAAGTCGGCACCACGCCACTGGGTCCAGGCACAGGGATCATTTGGCAAAGGACGGGGGGACTGGGGACGGGCACGGAGATCAGGGGGGCAGCTCTCCTCAGTAAGTCCTTCTCTCGGTTCTTTGGTGAGCAGATCTGTACTGTGGTGGGTTGTGCCACCTGCTGGCTCTGGCTGCTGGGCAGGGAGCCGCCAGCCCTGTGCAGGCTCGACCCAGAGGACTCCGAGGTGGCACTGAGCACACTGTCGCTGTCCGTGAGGCGTGGCTGTGGCAGAGCCCCCGAGAGCTCCGGGCACTGCGCTCCTCCATCCCTCATGGGGAGAAGTGGCCGCTCTGACGTCTGGGCAGTGGCCAGGTGGGCAGGTGCAGGGACCTCCCCGGTGTGGCGGATCACACTGGTCACCATGGCGCGGCATGGGGTGCCAGGGCCTGCCTCCGGAGGGTCTGGCCTGGAACCTGGCACGCTCATCTCCGCATTCCTGCTCAGGCCTCTGGCCGCCACAGCGGCAGGCAGGGGGCTGGCCTCAGGAGTCCGTGCTTTGCAGTCAGTCACGTGGGGAGGGAAGGGGGTCCCCATGGATGGCTCCATCAGATCCGGGCTCTGAGGAGGAGTGATGCACTTCAAAAACAAAGCAAAGGGCACTCATGTGGAAAGACTGGGTTACACTGCAGAGCGGCTTGCTCTGGGCCGGGCACTCAGCACCCAGGGCTCTCGGGGCTCCAGAACCCTGCCCTGCTGACTGCCCTGCCATGCCTGTGCTTGTCACCCGCCCATGCACTAGCTGTCGCAGTTACCAGGATGAGTGCTTCAAGCGACAGGATTACAAGTGGAAAGCAAAGTGACCCCACCAAAGATCGCTTATGGCCATCGTGCGTTCTGGACAAACGAAAACCCAAACAGCCCCAGCTCATCCGAGCGCAGCCCACGGCTCTGCCAACACATACCCGGCTGTGCTGTCCCCACACCCAGGCTGCCACCACAGCAGTGCTGCCCCCACCCAGTCCCCCCCAGGCCCCTCAGCGAGATGTTCCACAGTCTCCTGCCAGCCCAGTGCTCCCTTCCGTCAGCAACCTGCCGCTCTCAGCCGCTCCAAGCTACCGCTCCCTGAGCAGTTTCATGGCTGCAACAAGTTACAGGACAAAGACAAAAACATCACCACGCCCTGCGCCGATCATGCCAGGGCTGCTGCCACAGACGGCCAAGGTGCCAGTATCTCCCGTGGCCAAGGCTGGCTGAAGGTAAGGCCCCCACCAGCTCACTCCCTCTTGGCGGGGAACGAGTCACTCGAGGACCTGTGTCCTCACCCGGAGGCCCTCAGAACTCACACCTGCCCTCGGCCTGGTGGTCACAGCCAGTGGGGGAAGGCGAGGGAGCTCACCGGGCTAGCAAGCCCTCCCAGCCCCCACCCACACGGGGGGCAGCTCTGCCCCCTCCCCCAGCATTCCGGGGCTCTCCCCAGCATTTCAACTCACTTCCCGCTTACCAGAGTCGAGAAGGAATGGAAGTCCTTGGGCAGCTCCGGCGGGGCAGCATCCCCAGGGTCTGAGACTGGCGTGAGGGGCCTTGTCCTGGAGCAGCCCCTGTGCCGGGACCTCTGACCCCAGGAGCTCATGCACACCAGAGCCTCGACAGCTTCAATGTCCGTCTGTCCCCAGATGCCGCACGAGGAGCCCTCGCTGTCATGCCGCTTCCGTTCCAGGATGGACTCACAGATGTCCACGATGTCCACCTGAGATGACATGGCCAGGGCGTGTCACCCCAGGAGGGCAGGCGGAGACCGCCACGCCCCCCAAGCACACTCAAAAGCCATGCATTCGTTCCTTTTGGTCAAGGCTAGGAGAAAGGCCCCAGTGGAGGGGAGGCAAGGAGAGGGAAAGGCCTGGAATGGACCACCCTGTTCCCAAAGGAAAACTTTCAGATGGACAGACACAACTCCTCCACGACAAGCTTTGCCTGAGGGAAGCTCACCGAACCCGCCACGCTGCCCACCTGGGTCCAGGGCGATCCCACAACCAAGGAGAGGTCTCGGTGCACAGCAGCACAGGCACCCACCTGCCTTCATACTGCCTGCGGCCTCAATACCCGCCGCCACCATGCTGCTCCCAGGCTGCTGCTACTGAGGCCCCTGGTGGCCCTTCGCACCTCTCCTGCTCTTTAGACCTCGAGTCCCACCAGTGTCGTCCCCCACGCTCGGCATCCCGCGTGCCGCATTCCCGCCAGGAGCCTCGGCCCCGCCCCCAATCCCGCCCGGGAGCCACGTTTCCCGCCAGCGGCCTCAGCCACGCCCCTCCAGCCTGGGTTCCGCCCCCGCAGATACCACAGCCTCATCCCTCCGCTTCGGCTCCGCCCCACAGCAGCTGTAGCCCCGCCCCTCCGGCCTCAGCTCCGCCCCACCAGCCCACGAGCCGCCTTTCCCGCCACTGGCCTAAGCTCCGCCCATCCGGCCTCGGCCCCGCCTCCGGGCCGCCTCCCAGGGTCTCACTGACGTCATGGCTGGAAACAGCGCGGTGTCGGGCGGGGCGGGCGCGGGGCGCGAGACAAAGCGCACGTCAGGCGGCGAGGGGCACACGCCCCCTGCCCGTCCCGGCGCGACTGCGGAGCCCGCCCCGGAACGCCGCCGCCACGGCTCGGGCCCCGCGGTCCCCTCGTAGCGCTTCCCCTGCCGGCCCCGGCACTCACCGCGCGCGCCTCGCCCGCGTCCACGGAGCCCGGCGTGTGCATGGTCCCGGCCGGTCGCAGGCCGCAGCGGCGGGCGCGGGCCGGGCGCACGTGGGCGGCGGTGGCGGCCACCGCTCCGGAGCGCCTACGGCCGGCCTGCCCCGGCGCGGCCCTCGCGGCGCGGGAGGGGCGGGGCGCCGCGGAGGGAGCGGCCCTGGGGGCGGGGCCGAGGACGCCGGAACCAAAATACGCCGCGCCCTGAGCGGGGCGGGGCCGCCGCCGCCGCCCAATCGGCGGCCGGCTCGCACGCCGCCAGCCAATGAGCGCCGCGGTGCGCCGCGTGATCGGAGCCTGGCCGCGGCGTGATCGGGCCCGGCGGGAGGCGGCACGTGTTTGGGTCGGGACGAGGGGGCGGGGCCTGAAGCCCTGGAAAGTAGGGGAAAGGTCGCGGCGGCGGGCGGTCCCCGGGCTGGCGCGGCTGTGGAGGCGACCTGCCCGGGCCGCGTGGAGCGGCGGAGCCGCCGGGAACGGGGAGGGGGACTCACCGCGGCTTTTCTTCGGCTTCGGTTCCTGGACGCGCGTCCCTGAGCGGGCGGGAAGCGGGTGGCAGTGCGGCTGGCTCCGGCCGACATTCCTGCCTCCGCCGCGGTTTTCCTCAGGACTCCCCAGGCGTCCGTGCAGGCTCGGGTGCAGCGGAAGCTTGTCTGTGCCACCACCCGCGGGCACGTCTCTGCTGTAGATTCGGGATGTTGGGGTCTAGCCCGTGGGTGTCACTGACCTGCTTCTGCAGGTGCGCGGGCGCCCCGATGTGGGCGCGGCCGTGGCAGGTGCAGGCGGAGCTCACTCCACGGGGACCGCGCTCGGGCCCAGAGCTGCTGTCCCTGGGGCTGGGCGGGGGCGGGGGGGCTTGGGAGGCCCTTTTGCTGCAAAAAACCATGAGAATGTTCAAAGATGAGGTCCCTACGGGTGAGGCGGCAGGGGTGCCCTGTGACCCAGGAGGGTCAAGTCCCTGATTTGCCCAGTTGCCTGCACTAGCGTCTAGGCTGGTGGTCTCCGTCCACTTCCCATGAAACCGAGGGGTGGGTGTCCATGCTGGGCCACCCCCTCCTGGCGCTGCCTTCCGCAGTCTGCTCAGCAGCTCTGGTTTCATTGTCTTTTCTCCCAGGATTCACCTGCTGAAAGCAATTGCAGAAGGCACATTGGAGGTGCTTGGAGGAGGGGGCCTTTGACTGTGGGGTCAGAGGGGGGGGCGTGGGAAGGTGGTGGCTTTATAAGACCAGGAGAAGGGGCAGGCCGGCTCCCAGGCTCTGTCATCCCTTATGGTGCCAGCCTCAACGCCCTGGGTCTCTGCATGCTTCAGGACCAGCAGCCCGACAGACCTCTGTTCTACAAAGTTTTATTGCATTTCATGTTAGGGCGTCAGGTGTCACAGGTCTCACCCACAGTGCCCTCCCCTGCCTTCCTGCCCCAAGGGTCCTGATGACCTGTCGGGTCACTCCTCTGCCTGGCAGCTGGTCTGTCCCCTGCAGTCACAGGCTTACCCCTGTCCACTCTTGAGTCCTGGATGCTAAACTGTGAAGCTCCCCACACAAGCTCCACCAGACAGCAGAGCGCTGCATCCAAGGCCTGGGGATGGGAGGCGGTGGCCCGCCCTGGAGCTCCAGCTCTCTGCTTCTGCTCCCTGGACGCTAGGTGCACCTGAGCCCTGGGATGCCTTGGAGCTCTTCCTGCAGCGAGCCTGTCTGCCAGGGAGATGGCCAGGCAGGCTGTGGCGGGAAGAGAGCCACTCAGAAGGCCACGCAGCCTTCCCCAGGGTCACGCATCCCTGGAGGCATGGTGCAACCCCCTCCTCCCCATCCGCTTGTGTGGGAGTGTGGCTGTGTCACACTCTGCTTCAGCACCCGGGCTGTCGGGGGTCTCGGTGTCTCTCCCCCACCCAGGGCTGCTTCCGAGGATCAGAATTGCCAGGTTAACTGTTCTGTGCCTCTCTCTACCTGTTCTTTTTCATTCTTTTTGGTAAAAAAAAAACTTTTAAGATTTATTTTTGTTCCAAAGGCAGAGTCAGAGGAGAGACAGACTGCTCTGCTGGTTCACTGCACAGGTGGCTGTAACAGCTGGAGCTGAGCTGACCCACGTCGGGCCGCCTGCTGCTTCCCCAGCCACACTAACGGAAGAAGGTGCTGCTGGGATTGGACCAGCACCCCTATGGGATGCTGGTGCCACAGGTGGGAGCTTAACTTACTACTTCCTGTTTATGTTCCTTTGATGGGTTTTACTTAGGCATCTGTGTGGTGTGTATGTTTTGCAGCCCTCTCCCCTTCCCTAGGGCCTGGCGGAAGAGTTTTGGCACTGGAGCCAGCCCCTGAGGGTGGGGAGCCCTCGCAGCCTGCAGGCCTGAGGGCCAAGGTGTGCATTTCTGTTGTGTGGGATCACCCAGCCTGGGGGGTTGATTTTTGGTTCCGGGGCGCATGAAATGGACTGCCACGCGGCTGAGGTCTGGGAATTCTTGTTTGCTCTGTAACTGCCGGTCACCCCGGGCAGTGTCAGCTCTCACTTGGGAAAACAACAACACGGTAGCCTCCCCTCACTCTGAAATCTCCTGATCAAAGAGACCCCCAACTCTGAGAATCTGGACTGTGTTTTGAGGCCCCCCAGGCCTGGGGTCTCCCCAGGGATGATCCACTTTCCACAGTACACACTCGCAGGGTTCTGGGCCCATGCTGGGCAGACCCCTTTCTGCGCCTGACCGTCACGCTGGCCCCAGCCTCTGCAGCCCTGCTTCAGCCTTGGTCCCAAGGCAGCTGGGGAGCGGGGAAGGGACAGAGAGGCTCCCAGCAAACGAGCTGCCTGTTTGCTCCTCTCGCCGTGTGGCATGTACACAGATATATCCTGTCACCCTGTCCTGCTGTCATTGTTTATGGTTGGAATCTCTGGACCGGGACCAGAACTTGCTGTGAGCAGATAAGCCTGTCGCTGGTGGGCTGAGTGACCTGCTAAATGAGCAGCTGAACGGGTGGAGTTGTCACCTCCTTGCTGCCTGGACATGAATGCCCATTCTCCCGATGGCCCAAGGGGCCTGTGATGGGACAGTAGAGGGGTTCAAAGGGCCCTGGCCCTGGTGCAGCTCACCCACCATGTCCTGCCTGCTGTCAACTGGGCAGTGGACTGCGCCGGGTTGGGAATGGGGCACTCAGCACACATCCTAGGGAGGGGGAGGAAGCACTTTGCGCTGCTGGCAGCCTCAGTGCCTGCAGCCCAGCCCGACACACGTGCTGCCTCCAGCCACCTGCCTAGGGACTGCTAGACACTGCCTGCTTGCTGTGGGTCTCCAAGCCTGAGCACAGCCTCTGTGTGCACGGGGCCTGCAGGCCTCCCCCTCCTGAGTGGGGACTTGCTGGCCCATGGGACTGGGGGTGTGGGTGGGCCCCTGGACGGCTCTCTGGGCCTTTGAGGGCCGCGCAAGCACAGCCTGTGGGTGAGAGAGCAGAGGCCCAGGAGCCCTTCTGTTCTTCCTCTCCCCAGCACCTGGCAACAGAGACTGGCCCACAGCCAGCCAGCTGGCTGGACCATCCACTAGAACCACGCTGGCCCAAGCGCAGTGGCAAACAGAGGGGACCCCAGGACTTCTGTCCCAGCAGCTGGCTGGAGGCTGGAAGGGACCAGCTCCCCCAGGAGAGCTCCTCTTGGCTGGGTGTGAAGCGAAGGGGAGGCAGCTGCCCAGGGGGTGGAGACCTTTCTCTACTAACCCACTGCTTGCCCACTTTATGTTTTCCTGTGGGCACCCTGCATCTCACTATGCAACCAGGAAGAAACCCTCCACATTTGCAGGCCCATGGTGTTCCACATGAGCAGGTGTATGTGTGTGTCCCACAGAGCGGGGCAGTGGCTCTCTGGGGAGCCAAGGATGTGAATCTAGGGTTCATGCCTCTGTTGGAGCCATGGATCTGGTCCAACCCCTGCGTTTTGTAGAAAATGCAGCCAGCTGGCGCTGTGGCACAGCCAGCTAAGCCTCTGCCTGTGATACCAGAATCCCATAATGGGCACTGGTTGAGTCCCAGCTGCTCCACTTCCCATCCAACTCCCTGCTTTAGGCCTAGGAAAGCAGCAGAAGATGCCCCAAGTCCTTGGGTCCCTGTACCCACATGGGAGACCTTGAAGAAGCTCCTGGCTTCAGATTTCGCTCAGCGCTCACTCTCTTCCTTTCTGTAACTCTGCCTTTAAATAAAAATAGATAAATCTTCAGGGGGAGGTGGACAGAGCCCTGGGAGCAGGGCAGTTTGTCCTCTTCCCTGTCAGGGTGAGCAGAGAAGAGTGAGACTTCATGTTGCCCTGCTGGCGTGTGGTGGCCACTGTCCCGACAACAATCCTAGACCTAGGCCTGGGTGGCAGTGTGGCCTTGGCCAGAGCACCGAGGACCGCCCAGCCTGGGAGGGCAGTGGTGCTCAGATAGCCAGCCAGCCACTTGCCACTGGGTGTGCTGCCAGCCTGGCTTCCCCAGTGACCCAGTGTGGCCTGGGTGCCAGCCCAGACCGGGCAGCAGGCCAGCTGGGCAGGAGCTCCAGGCACTGGCAGTGAGCAGACTCCTCACGGGGGAACATTGTGTGTCACCTGCCCACCCCTGCCCCCGCCGCTTTCCCCCACATGGGGACTGCCAGGCTCAGCCTACCACATACCCTGTGGCCTCTGCCAGAGCAGACTGGCAATGTGGGCCTGTCTCTGGAAGCCACAAAGCCTTAGGAGGGGAAGACCCCTGGCTGGCCAGCCTTCTGGCTCATCGTGAAAAATGGATCTCCCGTGCCCGCTCAAGGCCTCCTGCTGGCAGCTTCACCTCTCTGCCACCAGACAACCCCTGATCACCCCAAACTCCTCCATCTTCATGAAGACTCAACTATATGTGGCAGTCTGTGCCCACTAGGGGTCCCTTGCAGGCTTCTCTTGGGCTGCCCCATCAGTGAGTATTACTGACCCACTTCCTTCCTAGCCACAGCATACACGGGGAGCAGGCTGCTGTCGCTGGGCTGGCTTGTCGCTTGGGGGCAGGCAAGCCCCTGGGCCAGGATGATCTCAGCAGGATGCACTGTGCTGTCAGAGTCACCCC